GTAACGGTTGTGACTCGGATGCATCCGAATTCGAACAGCGCGGTCCAGAGACGGTCGTCCACAAGAGGTCATCTACAACACGTGTTTTCGTCACCAACCTGCGAGCACTGGGTTAACCCTATCCTGCCGGAGGTTCGGTTCGGTTGAACCTGAACTTCGCAAATGTGGCTCGGATTAATCCGAGACGGGGACCGGCGGATGGACCCCACGGTCTGTTGACGCCCATCCAACCATCCAAGCTTCCGTTATTCCCCAGCTGTCGTCGGGTCCAACCGAATTTCGCACGGTGTGTCTTCGTCCTTGGTGTTTACGACGGGTGTGGCTCGGATTTATCCGATTTCGACAGAGGTTGTCCCGATACGTGTGACCATGACAAGCTGCGCTGACACCGTGTGCTTTCGACGTACAAGTTTATCAGACCGTGCAACGTCGTCAATACCCTCTGCGCATGTTGTAAATCCGAAAATGCCACCGGTGTGGTTCAGATTAATCCGACTTCGCCGAGGCGCTTCGCTTTGTTGTCGCTCCACCACACAGCAGACCTCCACGCGATTGCCGTAGTGTGTCATTATAATCTGTGCGTCATCACGGGGGATATCGTCGTCGTCGTGAGTTTTAGTTGGTTGTTGCTCGCCCAATCCAAACAACAGACACGTTTGCTGTAGTCGCCCAATCCACCGAGCGTAACCATCTCGACTCGTTTTAGTTGCATGAATCCGAGGCAGCTTTCTGGAAGACGAAGACAGCGTGGTAGTTCGGACACATCCGAACTGGGCAGAGTCGAAAGACCGACGTTGTGACTCGGATGCATCCGAATTAGGCCGACTACAAGAGGAGGACATCGGCACGGCGTGTTTTCCTCAATGACCTGTGAGCAGAGGGTGGACCCTATCCTATCGGAGGTGTGGTTCGGATTAATCCGAGACGGAACGGTCTTTTGACAGCATGTGATTTCGTCGTTCACGTTTATGGGAACGTGCGGCGTCGTAAATACCGTCTGAGCATGTGATAAATCCAAATTTATCGTCAGTGTGGTTCGGATTAATCCGAACTTCGCCGAGGTGCCTCGGTTAGTGGTCGCCCCGTGAGTTTTAGTGGGTTGTGACTCGGATGCAACCGAAATTAACAAGGATGGCTCGGATACGTCAGTTGTTGCGCCACCACAAGATGGTATGGACAGGGAGGGCTGGGTGGGCTGTCGTCCTCCTGGTTGGTCAAACACGTCGCCGTCGACAATACCCTATGAGCATCTGATCGCTCCGTGTCCTGTCCTATGTCCAAGTCAAGGGAAGGGTTCCTCGCGGCGTTCGGCTGACGTGACGTTTGATAGGGTTTAAAGATTTGAATTCACGTTCGCCTCCTGTGTCTTTGAATCTGTCGTAGCAGTCTTCGGACTAATGATCAGTGATTGCACTCAGGGGGGGACCAACTTGAAATCGGTTGAGCGACTGTCTGCGATACACAAAGATTGGAGAAAGGCAGAAAACCCGCATAGACACGGAAGGGAGACTAAGATCGATAGAGACGTCGACAAGGAGAGGATGCGCAGCGAGAGAGCCTGTCTTTAGCTCTCTGTCTCTCCATGTGCAGATCCTGCGGATGGTGTTGTTCATTTCGGAATTCGCAATGTGACCGTTAATAAAACAGCACAAAAGAAATTTAAGAAAAAATTGTTCGTGTCGGCGAGAGGAAAATTGGCGAAAAATATGAAAAATTCGACGAATGTGGAGGATATTTTACGGATACAGAACCGAACGCCGAGCGAACTGCACGACGCGACTTACGCAGAAAACGAATAAACAAACCGAGCGCAATAAAAATTTATTCGGCGAGAAGAATGTTAATGTGCAATCCAGAAGAGACACGATTCGTGAGAAACCATGTTCTCTTGTTTGACAACATACGACTGAAATCCTTATATCGCAGTTCGTGAGAGAGACAACAAATTGACGACAAGCGAGTAACACTTCAACAAAACATCTGAAGTGACGACACAATCTGGAAGTGAGTGTCGCAACATTCTCGGGCTGCATTCGCGGGTCCCGTTTCGTTGGTGACCACTCGCCCCGATCAAATGGCACACTCACATGTCCACGTGACAGCTCCTGAACATGCGTGGCGACGATCAGATAGAGCCCCGCATCCATCAGCGTGGCCACGCTTGTTCAGGACGTGACACGTGGACGTCTGAGTGTGCCATCTGATCGGTG